ATAAATGTAAATTCTAAAGAAGTAAAATAAAAAATGAACTTTAATTTAATAAAATTTAGATGAAGCAAGTTGAGTGCCTCTGAATATTATTGAATTTTACTATTCCTACATCAAGAATAAACCCCTTTCTCCTCTCACTGGGAATCCTTGGTGTTTTCAAAGAATATTCCTTCTGGTAGACTCCAGTTTAATTTGATTTCCCTCAGAATAAAGCAACTATACAATGTTTCTCTCAGATTTTCATGCATAGCTTTTACAATTATTCTGTATTTTCAAAAGAAGAGACAAAAAGCAGGGTTTCATTGCATTTGCAGGGTTTTGTAGTGAGGATATTTTGGCTGGGTTGTGTCTTGGTGAAAAGGGTTTTGGCTGTTTCCTGCTAGTTTGCATATTTCTTGCTTTAACTAAATATTTCAACTAATTGTTTATTAATCTTATATTCTGAAATCTTTTCACGTTTGAGGTTTTCACATCACTTGGCAGTCAGCTACTCTTTCCTGGCAAAACCCGTCTTTATCCTCTAGGGCCTGTCATGGGAAGGAAGCTTTCCAGGGGAGATTACATCATTTGAATCTCTTCCAAATATTCTATGAAATTGATTTATTAAAAATAGTGATGATGCAGAAACAACATAGAATCTATCTGCATATGTGAAAGAAGAAACAGTCCTTTCTTAGAGTAACCCAGAAGATTTGTGAAAACTCAAATTCTGCCTCACATGGGGAATGTATTCAGCTGATATCTGGTCCTGGTGCCATGTCTTCTTATATTATCATTGGGTTTTGAAGTTGGTGGGATAGCTCATTTTCTTAGGATGAATTTGGGGATTATAGGGACATGTTTTGAACGTTGAAGAAAATGGGCCTTAGGAAAATGCCACTTCAATGACTGATGAGTTCTACTGCTACTTGTGAGGAAACTGTCATCATGAATGTTTCAAAAAAGCTGAATCACTAAATCAGACACATGAATGTCACTTGAAACCCTGGAGAGCAAATCAGTTTTTTTAGTTATTTTACAGTAAGTGATTTAAAAGAGAAAAAAATCACACAGCCACCTTTTGCGTTGTGAATTTTTCTTTATGTGACCATCAAATGATGTATGTAGCCATGGAAATTTCCATTCATTAGGTCAATTTTTTACATAACTGAACGTAGCAACTTTCTTTTCCTATAATGATGTATTCTATTAGTTAAAAATTATAAACTACCTTTGTGCTATGAATATTAACATTGCATCTAAATGTATTTATGCGTCTGTAAATATTATGAAGTTGCATGTCACTTTTTGCCTTGGTAGGTATAAAATTTAATTGATAGACAAGTGAACAATATCATAAACATTCTAATAAAGGTTTTAAAATATTTCTTCATCATGTTTGAGAAAATTCTGTGAAACTAATTTTAGTATTATTGAAAGTTTTATTTATTCTATCAAATAATGGGATTGGTAAGTTATATCAAATTTATGTAGTTATGGAAGCCTAGAATATTTGTTTTTGCATAATGAGAAAACCAAAGGGTGAGAATATTCCAGTAGTTTATATGGTAAATGTTGTTATTTAAATGTCTTTATATCTTAGGCATCTGCCTTATACGATTTAAGATTTCTCTGAAAGGCAAAGGTAATGAGAGTACTATTTTGAAATATGGAATCTGTAAGCATTTTGAATTGTTTCTTCATGCATTGATCAGTCTCACATTTTCATATGTTTTATGATTGCATGGAGCTTCATGACACAGCTATAGTTACCCTCAGGGAAAGAGACCTTAGTTTTCCAAACCCAAATGTGAGTTTGGCAAAACCCAAATGTGAGTTCATAAAACAACTGACAAAGGACGCTAGCTGGAAATTCCTGTGATATACTGAAATGTAGCAATGTCTTATATTGTCATTTTAGGTATTAGGTATTAGGTATCAATTGGACTAATAAAGCCAGCAAAACACAGACATTAGAGTGTGTAAAGTACATTTGGTTTTAGAATTACACTGGATAGGTATTTATTTTGCATTTTGTCAAATGAAAGTGTTATATTTTTCATGTACAACAAATAAACTAATGAATTTTTACCTAAGTTCATAGGATAATATGTCTCATAACACATTAACAAAAAAGTATAATTTCTTTTTTTATATATGAATTAGAAAATATAAGACTACATTTCAGATAAAGCATTCTAGGTAATTATGGAATAATGGAGTAAATATCTATGCTCTGGATGCTTATGTAGGTTTTTATGGGTGAATCTTTTTTGAGATAGGGTCTTGCTATGCAGTTTCGGCTGGCCTTGAGCTCACTTTGTAGCCCAGGCTGGTCTCGAACTCGCAACGATCCTCCCACCTCAGCCTCCCGAGTGCTAGGATTACAGGTGTGAACCACCACACCCAGACACTATGTCAGTACTAATACATAGAGACATCCATACTCAAGGAAGTAACTCACCTAATCTTATTTAAAGAATTTTATAAAACTTACTGTAAAGCACAATATAGAGTATTCTTGCTGCTATAATATTATGTTTTCACAAAGAAAAAACACATCTTAAGAACATATTTTTTTCTAGAAAAAGTTTAAAGTATCAATTTGAGAGATGAACCATACAGTAGCTTTCAGTTTTGTTAATGACATGCACTATTAGTGCATACTTTATGTACCTTAATTTTAACATGTAGATAAAATGGCCAATAGATATATTCTGTTGAGATTTAACACTGATAATTAATGAAGGTAAATATTTTAGAAGGTAAGGTTTAAATAAGAGCATTTTACATAATTTTTTGCTCTTCAGTGTGCATGATTTTTGGTCCATAGCTTCAGCAGTGGCACATCTCCTGAGCCAGAGAGAAGTTCTGTGAATGAGGCATGTGAAGGGTCCCTCACAACTGGCATCTGAAGGCTCCTCAGACTCTTCCTGCAACATCTTCCTCCACTACCAAGTGCATGTGCATGGAATTCTTTTGCTGCTAGCCACAATATACCACAGGTAAGTACTGCTGGCACATATACATAGAATAAAATAGGAAATTTCCAAATGTAGAATTTTTAAAAAATTATTAAAAAATAATAAAAAAATAAAAAAGAAGGAGATTAAGATAAAAGAGGACATAACAACATAACAACACAGGTCAGAACAGAACAATTTAAGCAACATAGTGTTTCATCACAAGATAACCCGACATAACAGTAGTTACCATAGTGTCTCTTTCCTTGAAATATTTGAGTATAACTTCGTATACTGTAGCATCAAACTTATCAAGACAGTGTAAAGCCATTCAAGAGAATGAAAATATTACAGGGTAAATGTACAAATTTAATCTATATTCAAAAAAAGGATTCATAGTTATGTGTACTATTGTTAATATCTTGGGCTATGTCTGTAATTCTGAAAAAATTGCCAGATATTGATGCTTACAGTGAAACACTGAAAACAGTAACAATAAATACATTTTATACACTATCACATGGCCTATGGTGTTGTAGGCATGTAATAAGAAGAAGCTTAAGGTGTAGATGCTGCAGGTATCCCCAAGTTAACATGATGGAACGGGGACTAGGGACTAAGTTGGCCATTATCACTTAATAGGGAGATGGAGCACTGCAGCCCAGCAGCCACTGTGCCCAGGACTGTGCTACACTCTCTCCATGGATGCCTTGGGTCCTGCTTAGGAAGACATTGAATGGAAATTAGATTCATTATTTGACCACTATCACTGCGATATCTCATGTCTACATGCCGACATATTTGAAGTAATGGTAATGAACTTGAAAATTACTATTCATTGGTAAAATATGACAAAAATACAAATGTCTACAGTAAGAAATGGTAGCTCTGGACTAAGAGAACTGTGATGGGTAGACTGGGAAGAATTCTGACCTCATCTAATCAAAACCTTTATTTTTCAATCTGTTTAGAAATATTTCCATTATGTTTACAAAATCACTCAGCTTCTTCATGTTGAATATGGATGAATTTCTTTTGTAGACTTTTTTTTGGAATCTGAGCATAGAAATTTTATTTTTAAGCATTCTCAGTACTTAGAAAGTGTTCTATATAACACCATGTCATACTATTAGCAACCTCTTTTCATTTTCTGTTTTTATCATTTCTTAATAATTAGATTACTCTAAGAGTCCTGAACATCTAATACAGTACTATCTGTTAATACATTGGTTGTTCATAGCCATGAGTTAATTCAGTTCAACTAAATATAATTGCTGAAAATCAGGATAGAGAACATTAATTTCCTAGGAATTTGCTATAGGCAAAAATATGATGGACAAAATTATTGGTCTCTAAACTAAAGTCACACTTAAATAAAGTAATCATTAGAGCCGCTAATATGCTAAATAATTTTGCAGTTCTTTGATAGATTATAAATTCTATTACCTTGAAGTTTATCAAGATAGTCAAAAAGATTGACAATTCTTTGAGGTATGAAAGACTGAACATCTAATGTGTGGTAGGGTTCAATAATGTTCAGTTGAATATCCCAGAAGAGAAATTATCTTTAGTGTAGCACATATCAGATGGTAAAGTTATTTCTCCTAAATATTATAAGTTAAAATGACTGAATCTGTGTTACCTCATAGTCTATAGCTTGTCACCACTAGGGAGAATTTTTTGTGGTATCAGGAACATTTTTATTTTCATAATTTCTGACTTCTATGTCAATGCATGGTGTATTTAAAAGAAAGTGTTAATAAATATGTTAAGATGATTGACGTATTTTTAAACTAATCTTTGTAGACTATTACCTACAACAATAATAGAACTAATAAGAGTCCAGTCTCAAAAATAATCATCAGAAGAGAAATAGAATCAACAAAAAAAGGTTTAGGTGACTTCTTGAAATACGAATTAGAAAATTATTAACTAAATATTTTGTGTGTATTCACTATTGTAGAGCACATAATGATGCTGTGCAGCATGAAAGAATGAAGTCATGCTTCTGGTTGTGTTTTTCTGGCAGGTCCTGTTCTCCTGCACCCTCATCACTGAAACAAGCCTTCTAGGAGACTGAATGGCACATAGTAATAATGTCACGGAATTTGTCCTTCTGGGCCTCACTCAGGATCCCAGTGCACAGATGACATTATTTGTTTTGTTTTTACTTATCTACATTGTGACAGTGGTGGACAATCTGCTGATCATGGTCACTGTCCTCACCAGCCCCTCCTTGGGCTCCCCAATGTACTTCTTTCTTGCCTATCTTTCACTCATGGATGCTGCTTATTCCACTGCCATCTCACCCAAGATGCTGATAGATCTGCTGAGCGCTAGAAATACCATCTCCTTCCCAGCCTGCATGGGTCAACTCTTCATAGAGCACCTATTTGGTGGTGCTGAGGTCTTCCTTCTGGTGGTGATGGCCTTTGACCGCTATGTGGCAATCTGTAAGCCTCTGCACTATTTAACCATCATGAATCGTCGGGTTTGCATCCTCCTGCTGGTGGTAACCTGGGCTGGAGGTTTTGTACACTCTATGGTTCAATTTGTCTTTGTTTCTGGTCTCCCTTTCTGTGGACCCAATGTCATCGATCATTTTGCCTGTGACATGTACCCTTTACTTGAACTTGCATGCACTGACACCTACTTTATTGGCCTCACTGTGGTCGCCAATGGTGGGGCCATCTGCATGGTGGTCTTTATCCTGTTGCTCATCTCCTATGGATTCATCCTGAACTCTCTGAAAACTCACAGTGAGGAAGAGCAGAGAAAAGCTATTTCTACCTGCAGCTCCCACATCACCGTGGTTGTGCTCTTTTTTGTTCCCTGTGTTTTTGTTTATGTTAGACCTGTTTCTACATTTCCCATTGATAAATCTGTAAGTGTGTTTTATACAGTTATTACCCCTATGCTGAATCCTTTAATATATACCCTGAGAAATTCAGAAGTAAAAAAAGCTATGAGAAAACTCTGGTGTAGAACGCTGACTAGAGATCAAATATAAATGTGTTTTTCCACACCAAGCCTGTTGGCTATTTATTCTACATAAAGGCCATAAACTCTCACAAAAATGTTGTTACCTACATAGTACACTCCCTATGACTTCCCTTGTTCCTTATGTAAATTCATAACAGAGTACAATAAATTCTCTGAGCTTAGGATCAATCTTTTCAGTGCAGAGAAATAAAAGATGTTTCCCTTTACTAAGAAAAAAATTTAAAAAGTCACTTAGAAAATTTTTCAATTGTTATTGAAATGAGATTGAAACATTTAGATAATAAAATATATTGCTCTTTTGGTGATAAAAACTATTATTTTATGACTGAGTTAATTGATACAATTCAGATATACATATCGATTACTTTTTTTTTTTTGTCTTTTTCGTTTTTATTGGTACCAGGGATCAAACTCACGACCGCACACTTGCCAGGAAGGCGCTTATGCCGCTGAGCTAAATCCCCAGCCCCCATATTGATTACTTTCATCGTACAAAATTCCTAACTCTACATGATGTATCATGGTTCCTACTTTTCTCCTCCTCTCGCTTCTACCTCTGTTTCCCTCTTTATTAACAAAGACTTGTTCCACTTTATCCTTCTTTCTAATTTTTTTCTTTTCCCTTTCTTCCTTTCACTTTCACCACCCTAATAGTCCTTTGCTTTTGAACACATTCTTCCTGTTTTGCAATATACAATAGAAATTTTGATCCTTATTTACACATTCAGTTTGTTACACTGGAGAGATAACATGATATTTATATATCTGTCCAATTTATTTCACTTAAGATTATTATCTTAAAGCTCATTCATATACCCAGAAATTTTTCAGATTTATCCTTCTCAATGACTTAGTATTATTCCATTGTATTAAAAAAGCACACTTTTTATGCATTCATCAATTGATGGGCATTTGAGGTCTTTTCAAATTTAGATATTACAAACTGTGCCACTGTATCCATGGCTGTGCATAAATCACGGGGCTATGATACTTTTAATTATTTTTCAAAGATGATCAGAAGAGGAATAGCTGTGCTAATTGGGATCAGAAGTATATTTTTTTCAGGAGTCTCCACACTGATTTCTACAGTGGTTGCACCAGTCTACACTCCCACCAATAGTAGAAAAGAGTCAATTTTTCCACAGACCACTCAAAATTTATTATTGACTGTTTTCCTAATAATTGTCACTCCTCTTAGAGTGAGATAGAATTTCAGTGTTGCTTTAATTGGCATCTTTCAAAGGATGTTCAACATTTGTTGTTTTTACATCTTCTAATCTAGTCCATTGATCCTCAGGTCTACTATCTTGGTAGTATCACGCTGTTATTATCACAGTAGCTTAAAAGTATAATTTAAAGGCAAATTGAGATATCTTTTTCTTTGCTTTTGTTGTTCAGAGTTGCCTTTGCTATTCTAGGTTTCCTCTCATTCAAATGAATTTTAGGAGTATTTTCTCTAGTTCGTGAAGTACGCTAAAGCTTTTTTGATGGGAATTGCATTAAATTGTTACAACAATTTTGGAATTGTGGCCATTTCACTATATTGGTTCCTGTGGCCCAAGGGCAAGTAATATCATCCCCTTTTCTGATACACACTTTATTTCCTTTATCAGGGTATTGTAGTGCTCCATATAGAGGTGTTTTATCTCCTTTAGATAAAGTCTCAGTTTTTAGGATATTATTGTGAAAATTGTTGTTTTCCTAATTTTTATCTCAGTGTATTTGTTATGTGTGTACAGAGATGCTATTGATTTTGAGTGTTGACTTTGTATTCAACTCTCTCCTGAATCTGATTATTAAATCTAGAAGTCTTTTGGTGGAGTTCCTGGAATCCTCTATGTAGAGTATAACGTCATTTGCAACTTTTCTTATTTAATTCCTTCCTTTCCTATCTTTTCTCTCCTTTTCTTTTTTTTCTAATTGCTTTGGCCAATATTTCCGTAACTCTCTTGAGAATTGTGACAATGGACATCCTTTTCTGCTTCATGACTTAAAGTAAAATTGTTTAGATTTTATCCTTTTTAATATGGTGTTGGATGCTGGGTTTTCATAGATGGCTTTTTATCAGATTGAAATAAAGATCATGTATTCCATTTTTCTGTAGATTTTTTTTTGCCTTTTTCCTTTTTATCAGTACCAGGGATCGAACTCACGACTGCCTGCTTACAAGGCAGGCGCTTATGCCGCTGAGCTAACTCCCTAGCCCCTGCAGATTTTTTTTTATCATGAATGTGTGTTGCACTTGCTCTATTTTTTCTGTGTCTATTGAGATGATCATATGATTTTGTCTTCATCTGTTAATACGTTACATTACATTTATTAACTTGTGTATATTGAAACATCTGCCTCCCTCAGATGAATCCTACTTGATCATGATGTATAATTTTCTGAATGATTTGCAGCATTCTGTTCCCTATTTGCATACTGAGGAATTTGTGTCTGAGTTCTCTAGGGAGATTAGCTTTTGGTTCTCTTTTTGGTTAGATCCTTCTCAAATTTTGGTATCTGGATAATGCTTGATTTTAGGAATGAATCTGGGAGTATTGTTTCACTTTTCTTTTCATTAAAGAATTTGAGAAATAGTAGCATAAGGTCATCTCTAAATTTCTTGTAGAATTCAGCAGTTAATCCATCAGGGCCTGGGCCTGCCTTTACTGGTAGTTTTCTAATTACATCTTTAATTTCTTTGACTGACTTATTTAGAATTTTTATATCTTCATTAGCTTTTGTAATTTAAATGTAACTGTGAACCTCTCCATTTCTTCTGTTTTCCATCTTATTAGAATATAGATTGTCAAAGTAGGTATTGATGACCTTGTATATTTCTGCAAGATCTGTTGTGATTTCACTTTTAACACCTAAATGCATTGATTTGAGACTTTTTGATAAAGCTGGCTAAGATTTTATCAATTTTATTTAATCTGTCAAAGAACCAACTCTTTGATTCATTGATTTTTATATTTTTTCCTAGCCTCCACTGCATTAATTTCTACTCTGATCATTCTAATTTCTTTACTTTAATGAATTTTTGACTTGACTTCCTCTTCATTTTTTAAAATCTTGAGGTTCAACATTGTGTTTATTTGAATTCTCTCTGTTTTCATGATACAAGTGTTTATTGCTATGAATTTCCTCTTAGGATTGTGTTAATTGTGTCCCACAAATTCCAGTATATGATATCAGCATTACAGTTTAATTGTAGAAACATCTGTTCCTCGGCACTTGGGAGCCTGAAGTAGGAGATCTGCTACAATTTGATTTCAGCCTGGGCTACAAAGTGACTGTGAGTGCAGGATGAACTACATATTGAAACCTAGTCTTAAAATACAAAAAATATAGACTAAATTTAATTAAAAAGTCCACTCCAAGGCATGTCTCTGCTGTCAGTGGTAGACCATGTGGCAGACAGAATCCAGATCTGAGTTGATTAATCCCAATAAGCCAGTTTTAGCTTTAAGGTGAGGTAAAGGATAAACCCAGCAAACCTGAACCTTTAGTTTCACTGAAATTCAGACTTATTTCTGATCAGATTTGTTCAGCTTGTACTACCACTTGAGCCTCCTGTTTGTTTGGTCTTTTTTCCCTATTGGTTTGAACTGGGGCCCCTGAACTTCAGCAGTTCTGAGTTCTGAGCGCAGTTGGCCTCTCTCCAAGATGGCTTTCATCCAGTCACCCTCTCCTGGGAGACATCAGAACCCAAATAAATCACCAGCCACTGCAAACCACTGCATCCTCTGTTCCATCCTGTTATCTTTATATGAAAGCCTGTGGTTCCAGCAGTCATCACCACCTTTCTGCAGGTTCAAGCTGCCCCTTCCACGCAGTAGTCCAGGCTCAGGGAGAAACTGCAGCCTGACACCGCCTTCTCCTTTGTAGAAGTCTCACACTTTGCTCTCCTTGTGGGTTTCAATGCTCAGTTCAGGTCCCCTCTGGGTCCCTGAGACCAATTGCTCTCCTTCTCTTCCTTATATTGTTATTTGTCATTGTCTGAACAGTAAATCTCAGAGATTATCTTTCTCTGCTACTCACTACTCTATCATCTTTGAGAAAGTCCAACAGAAATTATTTATTATGTCATAGATGCGGTAACCATTTTTTTCCATTTTTGTTGTCTTTTTCCTTTTTATCGGTACCAGGGATCGAACTCACGACTCCCTGCTTGCAAGGCAGTCGCTTACGCCGCTGAGCTAAATCCCCAGCCCCCTCCTTTTTCCATTTTTATTTTTCATTAGTACATGTTTCTTCTACCGTACTATTCCTCATAATAGCTAAACCTTGGAAGCATCCTATACATGCTTCAACAAACAAATGGATGAAAACACATGTGGTATTTACATACTGCCATAAAGGTAAACCTGAGTCATTTATAAGAAAACGGATACACATTGAGACTTAAATTTTCAGTGAAACAAGAAATGATCAAAGTCTTGAAAATTGCATGTTTTCTCTTATAGAAAACATAAGTGAATAAACAATTAGCAAAATAAAATATAGGTAAAAGAAGATATGGGGAAAGTTCTTTTGTAATTGGGGATGCAACCAAGAGATGAAGGGAATAGGGAGAGATGGGAGAGGGAAGGGATGAAAGAAGATTTAAAATATGTTGAGACTACTTCTGAAAGCTTGATACCATCCAAACCAAAGAGAAAGAAATTTAACTGATACTTAGATGATTTTTTTCCAGCCAAGTGAATGAATGGTTATTTTTATGTTATTTCTTTAGCCTAGGGCCATTTGCAGGTGCATTCTAGTGCTTGAGTACAGCATGCACACTGGCTTTAGAAAACATTCCAATCCAATTTATTAATGTATTTTGTGATTCTCCTCTCTGTTTATCATGTGTATTTTTGGTATTCATATTTTATTTTCATGTAAGAAAAAGTAGTAAGGAAAATTTGTATAACAGTTTCCCCTATCAGCTGTGACCTCAAAATATCAAAAACTGGGAAGAAGTGAGAACAGTTTTCATTGCAATATGAAACAAAATGTAATGTTTATAAGAATTTTTTGTAACT